AGTTGAAGAAAGAGCAATTTATTTTAGTTGTAATCCTGTTTCATTTGATCAGTCTATTTTATCCACTTGTAGAACCAGCACCTTTGCACTTTCTACCACATGAGCCCTCCTCTCCTAAATCAAATCCTTAAAACTACTTTATCCTCCTTAAAACTCATTTCTATTGTGAAGCCAACTGAACACTTCAATCTAATAAAGGACAAACAGGTGACGAGCTGAGATTACTTCTACCAACTGTCTTATTACACACATGAAACATGCACTCAGCTACCCTAAGCAAAAAGAGCTTGGATTAGTGTTGTTCTATACTCCCTTCTCTTACTATACCAACCTCCTTGTTAAGCTGTGTAAGTAATAGCCTCCCTCTTCTGTGTGTCTGTACAGACTACAGCACAATGGAGACCTGACCCGATTGGGACTCATGAGTGCTATGGTCACACAAGCCTCAAGAAATGTCTGGCAGAAGTAGGGAATACTGCTCATTTTCAGGCCACTAAGGCAGAACTTAAAGGAGACCTGTTCCAGTGAAATCTGCTTTCCAGTAAAATTGGTTAATTTGTTTTTACTTTCCATAGTGGGAACCAGCAATATAAGGAGTTTTTCATTCTTGTTCCTTCTGAATGACTTGGATACTATACCAGATATTAACTAAAAACCAATCTAAGGGCCAAACCAAGTTATTCTACTGCTGGATGTAGAAACTAATCTACAGCTGGTATTACTGACATGATGGGAGCACTCAGTTTGGCATCTCTCCCCTGGACCTCCATGACAGTTATAACCTGCTGAGATAAGACTATTTGGGGAAGAGAAGCAACTATACTGTACCACTCTCCATTACTTTAAGCAGCAGTACAGAATAAACTAGAGATTCCCCCATCCATTATGCAATATCCCTGCAGACAAAAATAATCCTTAAAGTCAGCCATTACAAAGAATACTAGAGCATTACAATACAATACAAAGAACACCATAAGCATGGACGTTGCCTAGGATAAAATCAACCGTCATCAATATCAGTAGTCTCATTTCTATAACCAGGAATAAACCAAAACTAGTAAGGATCAAAAAGCTTAACTAAAAACAAAACAAAACAAAACAAAGGTTTCTTTACATGTGACTTTAGCTTCAGGCAACTTCCACAGAAATCTCAAAAACAACTTTCCTCATTAAGGAAAATATAACAGCTATCACCCTTACAGATATTTACTATTCTTATTTTATGTTCCTAACCTGCATAGAACACATTGCAGTGACACAACAGTGATGAGGCCCTAGATCCAAGCACCCTTTAAATAAAACATCTGACAGGATGTTCTATGGGCTTTATTTTATTTGAAGACAGATGAATTGGAAACTAAGAGAATGCTGCATTAGGGCACAATCAATAAATTAAGCCAAACAGAATTATTGCCAAGAGAAATATTTAGGAAAAAACACATGCTGGTTTCAAGCATTTTCCATGCAGAATCTACACCGCAAGCTGCTCACACCACGGTTTCTTCGGAATCCGACACAACCTTCCTTGGTTAGTGTTTACTTTGTAAGCCAATAACAGACCTTGAAAGGAAGCTAGCAGTGGTCTGCCGCATGCCATTTGTGGAAAAAAATGTTTTTATTGGAAGATAAGTCAAGTAGATTTTTGTATCTCCAAATATCTGGTGCAAAACCTGCAGACCCACTTGGCAGCTACTTTCAACTGAACATACTAGAAAAAGGATCTTAACTTCCACCAAATACTCTTATCATTTGTATACTTGAGCAAGAGCAATGAAACAAATCATGAAACGTACATTTGATATAAACCCAAAATAGTATGATGTGCATCTTACAGATACAGATGTACTGTTTCCAACCTATTAATACTCTGCATATATCAGAGAAATTATCTTAAAGGCTCCTATTTTATTATCCTGTATTTCAATACAATAGGTTTGTTTTTTTTTATCTTTTTGTACTCACTTTCTCAAAAGTATACCAACACATAGTCAAGAATTAAAACACTACGGCTGGAACCTGAATTTAGTCAGATTTTTATATGAGACCTAAGTCAGTTTCTATAGAGTCCAGGGAACAATGGATGCAATGCCACTTTCTTTACAAGAATGAATACTTGTAGAAGAACCTAAACATTAGAATCTATAAAGACAAAAAGGTAAGGAAAGAGCCCCATTTCCCAGACACCTGTTTTTTTTCAAATATTAGCACAATACTCACCCAGACTTCTCTCTTCCCCTAAACATTTTACAAAGATACATTTCAAAGTACAAAATAATACAGGATATTCAAGGACCCCAATTTTTATGAAAACCACATTCGCTTGGATATTACTTCCCTGATAGAGCTCTAATTGGAGTTAAAAAATAAAAACCAAAAGGATTTTACCATAATAAGAACAGGCAAGTTAGCATTAGTAACTTGCAGACAGTTGCATATTTACATCATTATTTATACCAGGTTTTTTTTTTTTAGACTTCTGTCTTTCCCCGCCTCTTCCTATTCAAAGTTATTCCTTGCAGCCCATCCTCATGTTTTGTCCAATCTCACATTAAGTGTGTGAGAAGTTTCACAGAGGATGTTTAAGTGCTTTCCTAGATATAAGGACCCTACATATAGAATCATCCTGTCATTTACTACAGTGTTATTGACAGTAATGGACTCTCCAACTACTTATGGTAATAATGCAGTTTAGGTTTTTTTGGTTTTTTTAGAATATGCACATACCACACACAAACTATACACCTGGTTTCCAAGTCTCATTTCTACCATCAAAATTACAAGCAGGATTCACACAACTGAACCAATCTTGTCACTAGAATAAAATCTATTTTTAGGGGAAGGGAGACCAGGGAAGGACAACTAGAAAAAAAAAGCCAAGCTTGCTCCAAATCTCATTATTTCTGTATAGCATAAACATATGTAAAAACTTACCTGGATAACTATTTTTAGAGCTTTTACTTTTTGGTCAGAGGACCAGGCATCCTTTAGTGACTGGTTGAGTTCTTCAATTCGATTTATGTAATCCTGCTGAGTTAAATTCAACAACTCTTTTTGTGAACCCTGGCAATATAAAAAAATAAAGATCTATTAGAGAGAGAATCCATTGCCGATGAAACTACAATTTGGAATTTCCTAACACTTCTGGAATTTTCCTAATATTGCATGGTTACGTTCTGCATGCAATTATTAATGCTCCGTCTGTAAGACTGTTTTGCACATGGGAGTAAATCTACAAAACAAATGCAATTCCAACATGTGGCATCATAATGTTACCATCATGGGTTGTCAGCAACGTGATTCACTGTAATGTCTTCTTCTGCTTCAGGTAATGGATTTAGTGATGAGAACCAACTACCGCTACCTATAGATGGACCAACACTAGACAGATAGTTTCATAGTAGCTAAGGTCAGGAGGGACCTGAACAGATCATCTAGCCTGACCCTCTGCCACAGGCAGGAATGAATGCTGTGTTCACAAGACCCCAGACAGGTGATCATCAAACCTCCTCTTGAATTTGCCCAGGGTAGGGGCGACGACCACTTCCCTGGAAAGCTGGTTTCAGATTTTGGCCATCCTAATTGTAAAATATTGCCGTCTGATCTCTAACCTAAACCTATTCTCCCTCAGCTTATTACCATTGTTCCTTGTCACCCCAGGTGGTGCTGGGGAGAAAAGGGCTCTACCTATTTGCTGTTGATCTCCCCTGATGAGTCTGTAGGCAGCCACCAGGTCCCCCCTCAGCCTCCTCTTGCTGAGGCTGAACAGGTTCAGGTCCCTCAGTCTCTCCTCGCAGGACCTGTCCTGCAGCCCTCTCACCAAGCAGGTGGCCCTCCTCTGAACCCTCTCTAGGCTGGCCACATCTCTTTTGAAGCGTGGCACCCAGTACTGGATGCAGTACTCCAATTACAGCCTGACCAAAGTCGCACAGAGGGGGAGGATCACCTCTCTGGACCAGCCTGAGATGCACTTTGGATGCATGACAAGGTATGGCCGGCCTTGCTAGCTGCAGTCTGGCATTGGCAGCTCATGTTCATCTTGGAGTCAAAAATGACTCCAAGATCCCTTTCCACCTCTGTGCTTGCAAGAGGGGAACTCCCCAACCTACATGTATGCTGTGGATTCCTTCTCCCAAGGTGCAGCACCCTGCATTTGTCTACGTTGAACCCCATCCTATTCTTGTCTGCCCACTTTTGTAGTCTGTCTAAATCTATTTGCAGGCCCTCTCTCCCTTCAAGTGTGTCCACCTCACCCCACATTTTAGTGTTATCAGCAAACTTGGACAGCGTGCTTTCCACCCCCTCGTCCAAGTTGCTGACAAAGATGTTAAACAGTGCGGGCCTGAGGACTGAGCCCTGGGGTACCCCACTGCTCACATCTCACCAGGTTGAGTACAACCTCTTCACCATTACTCTCTGGGTGCGCCCCATCAGCCAATTTTTTACGCATCCAATTGTGTAGGCATCAATGCCACAGTCGCTTAATTTATTGATGAGGATGGGGTGAGAGACAGTGTCAAAGGCCTTCTTAAATTCTAGATGTGCTGCCTGCGAGTTTCTCAGATATCTGACAACAGCAGGGAAATAGTGACTTTGAGAATCACAGGTTCATTCCAGGCTCTGGGGGGAAAAGTATGCTTTAGTGGTCAAAGATCCTCCTTCTGTTTCCCACAAACTTGTCTCTTCTGCCCTCTTACTCCTAATCTGTACCTCGTTCCTCATCCCCATCCTCTTCCCCTTCTAGCCCCCCAATCCTCCATTCTAGTTGGAATCTATCCTTTCCCACTGCCAGTTCTCCCCCAACACAGACTGCACATGAGATCCATGTCCCATGTTCCATCTACTGCCTCTCTCCCTGCTACACTAATGCCTCTACACTAATGCCCGTAGCATGAGGAACAAGCAGGAGGAACTTGCCCTCCTGCTGGCTGACACCAGCCTGGACATTGTGGGGATTACGGAGACTTGGTGGGACTCCAAGCATGATTGGGCGGTGAATGTTGAGGGCTATAGGCTGTACAGGAGGGACAGGATAGGAAAGAGAGGGGGAGGAGTGGCACTCTA